CGTTTTGCCCAAACGTTCTTCCTTTTGGTCGTCCTTCTCTGAAGCTTCTTCTTGAGCTTTCCTGATACTTTCCACAATCGTCGAGACAACTTTTATTCTCAATGCTCTTGGCCTTCTTCTCTCAAGATTGACTTTCCGACTTAGAGCATCAGCGATAATATTTGCTTTACCGGGGTGGTAAAGTATCTCACAGTCGTAGTCCTTGAGTAACTCTAGCCAACATCGTTGCCTCATATTCAATTCCTTCTGATTAAAGAGATACTGGAGACTCTTATGATCAGTGAAAAGTTTGCACTTCGTGCCGTAGAGGTAATGCCTCCATATCTTTAGAGCAAATACTACCGCTGCCAACTCTAAATCATGAGTGAGGTAGTTCTTTTTATTCTCCTTCAACTGTCGAGATGCATATGCTATCACCTTTTCTCTTTGGGTCAGAACACATCCCAACCCGACTCCCGACGCATCGCTATATACCGCGAAGTCTTCAACTCCATCGGGTAGAGAAAGAATCGGTGTTTCACATAATTTCTTCTTTAGCTTCTCGAATGCTTCTTCGTGCTTCTCGCTCCATGTATAAGTAGCTCCTTTATGCGTCAAGGCTATTAATGGAGTATCTATCGAAGAAAAGCCTTGGATAAATCGTCGGTAGTATCCAGCTAATCCCAGAAAGCTTTGAATCTCCGTGGGACTTTTCGGTCGTTCCCACTTCATCACCGCTTCGATTTTTGTTGGGTCAACCATTATCCCTTCTTGGTTAACCACATGACCCAAGAATTGGACTTCTCGGTTCCAAAAATCACATTTGGAGAACTTTGCATACAGCTTCTCATTCTTCAATACTTCTAACACTTCCCGCAAGTGTCTGCCATGCTCCTCTTGACTTTTCGAGTAAATCAGAATGTCATTTATGAACACTATCACGGATTTATCGAGGAATGGTTTACAAACCATGTTCATCAAATCCATGAATGCTGCCGGAGAATTGGTCAGTCCAAACGACATAACCAAGAACTCGTAGTGTCCATATCTCGTTCTGAACGTTGTTTTCTCAATATCCTGCTCTCTTACCTTCAGCTGATGATATCCTGACCTAAGATCGATCTTTGAGAAATAGCTCGAACCTTGAAGCTGATCGAATAGGTCATCAATCCTTGGCAATGGATACTTGTTCTTCACCGTTGCCTTGTTCAGCTCTCGGTAGTCTATACACATTCTCATGCTTCCGTCCTTCTTTTTCACGAATAACACTGGAGCTCCCCAGGGTGATGAACTAGGTCGAATGAAACCGTTGTCCAACAACTCCTCAAGTTGCGTCATGAGCTCCTTCATCTCCGTTGGTGCTAATCGATATGGTGCTTTTGCTATCGGTGCCCTTCCTGTTAACAAGTCTCTTCTGAACTCCACTTGTCTATCAGGCAGTAATCCAGGAAGATCTTCGGGAAAGACCTCCGGATAATCACACACCACTGGTATATTCTGCACCTCCTTCTTTTCCTTCTTGGCATCGATCACAAACGCCAAGTATGATGCACATCCTTTGGACAAACATTTCCTGGCTTTCATCAGGGAGATGATTCCAGAATTCACTATGCGTTTGTCCTCGTACACCATAAATGACTCTTTCCCGGGTGGGTTCACCCTTACTATCTTCTTTCTGCATAGTATCTCAGTGTCGTTGGTGCTAAGCCAATCCATTCCCAAAACGATATCGAAACTGTTCAACTCTATGGGTAACAGCTCCTCGTGGAATTCATTTATGTTTAAGTCGATGAATATGTTCTTAATACGATCACTAACAGGTACGAACTTGCCACTGGCAACTTCTACAATCAGGGCATTATCAAGTTTTTCTACGGGAAATGCTAGTTTCCCACCAAACTTATGTGACACAAAGGAGTAGTTTGCTCCAGAATCAAACAGTATATTGGCAGGCAAACCATTTACAAGAAAGGTACCTGAAGCGATATCTGCTGCCTCCTTTGCAGCCTCGAGCGTCATCTGGAAGGCTCTTGCCTTCGGCTTTGGTGGAATGATGGGTCTTCCTGCCTCCTCCTTCTTCGCGCAGTCCCTCGAAATGTGCCCTTCCTCGTTGCACTCGTAACATACCTTCTTAGTGAACGTGAACTCGTTGGCATAGTGCTCGGGCTTTCCACACTTGAAACAGGTGACCCCTCCGTCACATTTTCCTTGGTGCTTCTTCTTGCATTTGTCGCACCATTTTGCTTCGGTTCCTCCTCCTCTCGAACCAGACTTCGAGAATTTACTCTTCTTGTTGAATTTCGATGACCCATCAAATTTCCTTTTCTCACCGACCTCCGCTCTCTCCAGACCCTTCTCTCGTATTTGGGTCTCCACATTCTTAGCAGCCCAGATGGCGGCTTTTAGAGTGGTTGCTTGCTTGACCATCGGACCAAAATCTGCTTGTAATCCGAGGGCAAACTTGTTAAGCTTGGAGAGTTCGGTTGGAACTAGGTACAGAACAAGCTTCATTTTCTCTATAAAACTTGTAGCATATTCAGCGACGCTCATTCTTCCCTTCTTCAGATTCTGGAACTCATTGTTGATTTCCAGAAGATCCTGCTCAGAGCAGTATTGCATCTTTAGTTGCACCATAAAATCCTCCCAAGGCATCTTTGCTCGCTTCATCCTTGAGCATTGAATCAGCTAGTAGCTTCCACCATCTTAGTACTCCAGATTTTACAGGGGAACCGCGAGAGCGGTCTTCTGCCTGTTGCTACATTCACAGCTCTCAAACATTGTCTCACTTACAGCGGGTTTTCTTGAAAACCGGGCTTCGCTTGGAGCAGCGTTTCCGAACCGAAAGGCTCTTTTCTCGGGGCTTCGGGAGCCTCGGGGCTTCCTTCGGGTGCTAGGGGGGTTTACCTAGGTTTAGGGGGGTTTTGGGGGCGAGAGAGAGAGAGTTTAGAGAGAGAGAGAGAGAAGATGTTGGAATGGTGTGAAGAATGAGGGAACCCAGCACCTCTATTTATAGTGAGGCTGGCAGCTCTACTCGTCGAGTAGGGGGACCTACTCGTCGAGTCCATGCCACATGTCACCTTCTGGTGGCTAGCCTTGGGGAGGAAGCAACGACCAGGATTTCGCCACGTCACCCGATTTCGCACAACAGCCTCCCGACTTAGAAAAATCATAACTCTCGCATACGAGCTCCGTTTTCGACGTTCTTTATATTCATGCGTAGGTAAAAACAAGACCTACAACTTTCATTTAGACTCTGTTGGCTAATCCCGACCGATCTTAAATTTAACAGGAGGAGGAGATTATACTGTTAAATGTCCGCGTAAAATTCATAACTTCTACATACGGACTCCGTTTTCGTCTGTCTTTTTACTGTTGACTTCCTATTAATGAGATCTTCAATTCTCATTTAGGTCGCGTAGGCCAAAAACCGCTTGATCTAAAATTCGAGTTTCGGGTCGTGCACTGTTAAGCCAAATCTTAGAAAATTCATAACTTTTTCATACAAAGTCAGATTTTGGCGTTCTTTTTATGGATGCTCTTGGTTTAACATATTCTACGAATTTTGTTTATATTACTAAGGCCAAAAAGTCTTCTATCATAAATTCACTTTTTACGTTTCCCAGTGCCGTGCCGGTTCCGCCGCGAAACTTCGACAGACCATAACTTCTTCGTTATAACTCGGAATTCGGTGTTCCTTATATATCCGGAATCCTTGTTTCGACCACTACAACTTTATATAAAGATATTGGGTTTATCTTACACTTTAATTTTGATGCTTATTTTTATTCTTTATTAATTATACCTTTATAATTAAGTATAAAACACATAAATTCACATAATACTCATGTATTTCATCTTTATTACTTCAAAAAGAGTTACAATAGTTGACCTAGACTATTATATCATCTACTAATGCTTAGCCCCGAAACCCGGACGCTACACTTTGCATGGTAGTTTAAGTCAAACTGTGGCAGGTGTTGATGAAGTTGTACTTACCTGCCATGAAAAGCTTGACCGGGAAGATTTTTAAACTATTAAAGATCTGCAGGCATCTGGATATGATCATGGGGAAATTGTTGAAGCTTTTAATAAGGTGTGTAGTTATAAATTTAATTATTAACACAATTTTCTTGAACATTATGTGATAATATGTTAATTTCTTATTCACAGTTGACAAAAGAGAGGAAGGAGATGTTGGTTGAGAGTAGAGTTGATGAAGAGACCATTCAAGAAACACAAGATCCATTGGTAAGAAAAAGGAAGCCCTCAGAAAGAATTATCAAGATTAAGTTGAAAAAAAGCAGTGCATGATCCATATGGAGGTGGTTCAACAACTGAGAAAGCACTTACATTGGACTAATGTTGTTATGGATGGGGGTTAATTGGGTAGAAATCTTTTGATAGCCCTTTTTTGTGAAAGCATCTTTTGGTAACAAGCTTCCAATTTGTTGACAACATGTTATCTTTTGACTGTAAATTGTAGTAAGTACATTGTCATTTTGGGAGATCATCTTTTGGCTTGTAAACATTGTTGTAAAATTGGAAGTTTGGTTCTGATTGTTACCCTCCATGTATGTATTTGGCTATTATGTTTATAAGGAGTGTGGTTTGTAGTAAGTTCAAATTTCAATGTCAGTTTGTAATGGATAGTACATTGTCAATTTCTGGTTAATGCTTTTCATATTAATTGTCTTGTAGGACTATATATTATAAGGGTCCCCATATTACATCCTTCAAAATGTTTTTCAGATGCTATTACAACTGTCCCAAAATAAGCATCTAATACAACTTTCACCTAACCAACAACTTCACAAAAGACTAAACTTAACTTCCTAACTTCCTAACTTCCTACAATTTCACCAGCAATACAATCCTTGTTACCAAAATCACTACAAATAGCATGACCATGACGAACATAAGCTTCATCATCAACATCAACCTCTTATTTTGATCCACATTCACCTGTTCCAACTGAGCATTGCCATCAGCCATACCAACCAGAGCTAAATGCATTTGGCACATCAGGTTTTTGTAATCTTCACTAGGCAAAGGTGGGTCCAGCCACATGAAGAACTTACAATACCTGGAAGGATCTTGCACATTTTATCATATTGCAAATAATTAGTCAAACAATAGTTGTAATCTCTTTCTTCACTAGTCAAAGGTGGGTCCAGCCACAAGCAGTATATGTTATTGATCAATCAAATATACGATTTGTATACTCTTTCTTTATATGGTATCAAATATGCAATACCTAAAAGGATCCTGCATATTTTTATGACAAATTTGCCCTTAGTCCCATAACAAAACTTTATAATGGATCAAAGAGTGAAGAACATACCTTGTAGTTGGTGCATCCCCTAAATTTTCTTCCAGGATTCTTGTCCGTCCACGAAATTGAGAAGCTAGCCTCAACACCATAACGACACAAAACCATGGGGTTGTTTCTGTTCCTGAAATTGACATTAACATTTTGAAATCCTGAAGTCATTGACCCTGTAGATGAACTAGCCATGAAGAAGTTGTTGCGTGGAAGAAGAAGTCGGAAAAGGTAGAAGTACGAGGTGGAAGATGGGTTTCTAATGGTCAAACCCCTATTTGTAAAGGGTAACCGGCTGAAACCAAGGAAACCGACTAACAGGGCTTGAGGCAAAAGTCAACACATACATAATGGCTAATTAGACACAAAAAATCCATTTAGGGCTAATTTAGAATCGGGGTGTAAAACTTATGGCTTTTATGGTATTAACCAAAGATAAAGAATTTATAACAATCAAGTTATTTGATTAGTGCTTTATTTTGGTTTTTTTTTATATATAAAACTTGTCAATCGAAATCGAATTCCTAAATTGAGAATATATCATAAAAAATAGATGTTACTATATGTATCTTTTCATTCACATAAATTATCAAATCACTGAAGTACACATTATTACACTTACAAATTGTTACACAGAACAATTTGGAAGGTACGTATAAAATTTCCCTAAAAGATAAGAGTTAAATTGGTTATTTTATACGAAAAAAAATATGACAAATCATGATGATTTTGAAATCTATCAAAAATGTATAATTTTTTATAACTTGGACTAAAATTGTATAAAAATAACATAAACAAAAGTGTGATTTCTTAAACAAATTAAAAGAAAAATAAAAGAAATATATTATCTAGGCCCGCCGTTGACGGAACATACATCATATCCTGCAAACTGACCCCACCACCGACCTTTACCCCACCCCCAAAAACCTAGAAAACGAAAAGAAGATAATCAAATCTCAATCAATATCAATCCCACAGAGATCGGAGCTCGAGGAAATCTCCATTAATGGCCGCTTCTTATGATCATATGAGCTTTGAATTTTGTTTTCAATACTCAAGCCATTCGCCGACCACCTCTGAAATGACGGTTTATAAATTTGATGTGGTGTCATACTATACTGTACCATTTTTGTCGTAAAGCAAAAAGCGAGAATAATTCCTTTATGGCGTAGGGTTTATGCAATTTTTCGTATAATTTATTCCTAGATTGAGTTTCACGCTTGTAAAGCTCTCATTCCTACTCAGATTTTGGTGTTTATCTTCTGATTGAAGCAAATCTGCACACATACTTTTGGTCTTTATCTATACTTGTATTTTGAGTCGGTATTATCTGAAAACGGATTGCTATCCGGAAATTAGAAAGTGAAGATGCCATTGACGTGGTAGTGAAGCAGTCACTGAACTTGAAGAAAAAAACAAAAATGGAGGAGATTGGGAGACCGAAATCATGGACGGAGGAGCTAGCGAGTCTCGTGGAGGACACCGGAATACGATACACCGGTGACGATCACACTCTCAGTGGCCTCTCAACGCCGTCGTTTGAGTTGAAATCCGCGATGGAAGGGGAAAGAGTGGAATCCGAATCCGAGAGCCTTAAGGATCAAATGAAAGGGTTCGTGAAAGCTTGGGGAGAGATAGCGATTGAATTAGGGAAAGGTTGTAAGGATGTAGTTTTACAGAGTGTATTAACCGATGATTCTTACATAGTGAAGAAAACGAAAGGGCCGTGTAGAGTGGTTGCTGGAAAATTGAGTGTTTTGAATGATTTTCTGCCGGAGGATCGTCATCCCGTTCATGCTTGGCCGGTGATTTTATCCGTTTTCCTCGTCGCTCTCTCAGGTAATTCGACTTTAAGCTCTTAAACTCCATTAAAACATCAGAATAAGTTTCCCCCTTTCCGATTCACCTATAGTTGGACCAATACAACATCTTCATATTCTTCTTATCTCCTGCAGTTCTGAGTTTGAACATTAAACACGAAAACACTCCGATTCCACTAGTTCAATCACATCCTCCTAGCGCAAATCGGATACTACTTCCCGATGGTAGAAACATCTCATATCATGAACAAGGAGTTCCTGCCGACAAAGCTAGACATTCACTAATCGCACCTCACGCCTTTCTCTCTTCTCGTCTTTCAGGTAGAAATCATTACTAAACTACTGTTTCTCACGTTCTTGTAATCAGATAAACAAAAACAATGAATGTTGCAAAGAACTAAAGATACTCTCGTTTTACAGGAATCCCAGGCATCAAATCGTCACTCCTAGAAGAATTTGGTGTTCGATTAGTAACTTATGATCTTCCTGGATTTGGGGAAAGCGATCCACACCCAAATCGGACTCTTCACTCATCAGCCATGGATCTTTTACACTTAACAGAAGCTCTTGAAATCAACAAATTCTGGGTGTTTGGTTATTCCAGTGGCGCTATCCACACTTGGGCAGCTCTAAAGCACATACCTTCTAAAATTGCAGGTAAGTTTACTGTTTACAATCTAAACCTTTATAAAAACTTCACAAGTTTAATGATTTATGGATGATGATTATATACAGGGGCAGCTCTGTTTGCACCAATGGTTAATCCATATGACCCTAGTATGACAAAAGAAGAAAGATCAAGAATTTGGGAGAAATGGACACGAAGAAGGAAACTTATGTTCTTTTTAGCTCGAAGATTTCCAAGATTTCTTAAATTCTTTTACAGAAGAACTTTTCTATCTGGGAAACATGGCCCGATTGATAAATGGTTGTCTTTATCTCTTTCAGACAAGGTGAGAGTTTTTCAATTAGAAAAATTTCAGCTTTTTAAAGTTTTGTGAAGTTTAGTTTGACTTTCTTGATTCAACAGGATCAAGATTTGACCAAAGATCCGGGTTTTGAAGAGTTTTGGAGAAGGGATGTGGAGGAGTCGATTAGGCTAAAAAATGTGAAACCTTTTATGGAAGAAGCTGTTTTACAGGTGTCGAATTGGGGGTTTAATTTGAGGGATTTACAAGTTGAAAAGAAATGCAAGGAGAGAGGATTGTTTGATTGGTTTAAAAACCAGTTTATGTTTTTGTCTAGTGAAGTGGAATGTGAATTGGTGGGATTTCTTGATCCGATTCATATATGGCAGGTTTGTGATTTTTTTTTTTTTTTTTTGGAATATGATTTTCAGAAGTTTGTGATTGATTTTGTTTTTGTTTTGTGAAAAATGAAAATAGGGAATGGAAGATTTGGTGGTGCCAAGTGTGATGAGTGAGTATGTGACACGTGTCATACCAAGTGCTATTGTGCATAAAGTAGCAAATGAAGGACATTTTTCCTACTTTTACTTGTGTGATGAATGTCATAGAATGATACTTTCGACTCTTTTTGGAGAAGTCTATGATCATCAAGATCCTTTAGAAAGGAGTGTAGAAGAAGAATTAACATTTTGATTACAAAGTATAGTTTAAGAAAGGTAGAGAGCATTACATTAGTTGTTTCTAATAGTTTAAGAGAGGTTTATGTTTTGCAAGAAAAACGTGTTTGTGTTCTTGTTCATGTGTTGACTATACATCTGTTTTGACGATGTTAATCTAACACATGTAGGTAAAAGTCTAAATTACAAATACAAAGTTTGTTTTAGCATGGTTTGAAGTTGAAAAGCTAATGTTTATTTTGTGTCTTATTGCATCCTGAGGGTTTAACCCATGCGATGAAATTTCTGGAATATGTAATCGTTTTAGGAATTTTATCAAGTAACAAATGGTGTTTTGTAACTTTTAACTCTCATCATAACATGTATTACACGTTTAGAATTTTCTGAAACTTGATATCTTAATGCATTCTTTCAATCAAAATTCAAAAACTTGTTTGAACTTGATTAGTAGAATTAGGTTTTGTTAATACCTAATACTAATACTGATTTAAACATTTAAACCCTCGATCATTCCTATTTTTTATGAAGAGTATCAATCTTTTTATCGAAGGGAGATGATTTGTATACAACAATTTTTCTCCATACACAACAATTGATGTTTTAAAATGTTGTACTGTACAACTCTATAATGCATAAATTGTTGTGTATGGCAAAAAACTGTTGTGTACGAATCACTTCTCTTTATCGAATGATCAACAAAAAAAATGGAAGAGTCAAAACCAAAAATAGTGGTATTTGCTGGCAATAACATAATAGAAGAGCCAAAACCAAAAATAATAAAAAAGAAAACCATGATTTGTAAGGTAGATTTTGAAAAAAGTTATGATTTAGTCTTGTGAGATTTTCTTATCAAGGTGATGCATTTTATGGGATTTGGTCCTAACTAGATTTCTTGGATCAAAGCTTGTTTTGTTTCGTCAAAGTTTTCGGTTTTTGTTAATGGAAGTAGGGTTGTTCACTATTTGGTTAAAACTGAGTTGTCCAATCAGACAATTTGGATTGAACTATTTGGTTTATATATTCAGATTTTTGGATTTGATTTTAAGCTAAACCGAATTATTATTTTGGATTTTGGATTGTTTTGGTTTATAAAATAAGAACTGAATAGTTCAAAAAACCCCGAATGACAACTTATTATTTATTTTTAATATATATCTTTAATCATTTATAAATTTACTAAATTATTTTTTAATTATTGGAAACTTTCATTCAATATTACATTAATATCTACATTTTTATCAAAAGTTTTTTTGTAAATGAAATATTAAACTATAATCAAATTTTCTTAATAGTTGTTTATAAATTATAATTCATAATTAAAAAGTTTTTTTTAGATAATTTTATAGAGTTGACTAATATTTAAGTTATATATTTTGTAAAATGTCTCGCCTCTTAAAAACCGAATTGTAAAGACCGATCCAACCGAATTGTAATTTGGTTGGATGGATCTAATTTGAATTTAGTTTGGACTATTCGGATCCATGTTTTGAAAACTAAAATCTATTTTGATTTACTTGATCGAACAAACACCCCCAAATGAAAGCCCCAAGGTGGAATTTCACTTGGAGAGAGGTCTTAGACAAGGAAACCCATTATCTCATTTTCTTTCTCTTCTTATCATGGAGGCCCTAAATCTTGCTATGTATGATGTGATTACCTTGGATTTGTTTAAACCTTTTAAATTTGGTGTCAATTAGATTCTGATTTCTCATTTTCTTTAGGCAGATGATGTCATCTTTATAGGTGCTTGGACAAGACTAAATTTAAAAATCTTGTTCTTATCTTAAAGTGTTTTTATGAGGTTTCAGGTCTTCAGATCAATATTCATAAATCAAAGATTTTTGGGATTCAGTGTCACTGATTTGGAGGTTCACGGTTTTGCAGCAACGACGAGGTGTGAGGCTGGTTTTTTCCCGTGTAAGTATCTTAGTGTTCCAGTTGGTCTAAGTATGTCTCATATTAAAAGTTGGGAGCCTATTTTCAACAGATTTAGATCAAAATTTAATGGTTGAAAATCTAAAATGTTGTCAGTAGGAACGAGGTATACTTTAATTCGCTCAGTGGCTCTTTGGGTATTTATTATTTTTCGCTCTTTAAGATGCCGATTAAAGTTGTTGAGGTTTTCGAGTCTTCTAGTGCTAAATTCTTTCGGGGGAGCCGATCAAGATGAAAAATGGAATTTATTGGTTAAATGGAAACTGAATTTAGCCTCTAAACTTAATGGAGGATTGGGAGTGAGAAGGTTGAAGGCTTTTAATGAATCGTTGTCGTTAAAACGGAGATAGAGGATATTCAACAACCCAAATGTGTTATGGGTTCGAGTTATTAGATTTATTCATGGTCACAATGCAGGGTTCGATCTTGGTAAACATTTGTCGATCAAAGGTGTTTGGTCTTCTATTGTGGATTCAATTTTGAATCTTCATTCTAGACAAATTATCCCTCTGTCTTCTATGAAGAAATCTATTGGTGATGGTAGAAATACATTTTTCTAGAAGGATGTATGGATTAGGAATGATGGTTTAGGAGTAACTTACCTGAGATTGACAGCTCTTGATGTTAATGTTAATTGTCTCATTGTAGATAAACGTGAAAATTGGGATTGGAAATGGAGATGGAGATCTGATCTGAGAGGTCGAGCTCAGTCGGTACACCTCTCAGCTTTGTTAAAAGATTTGGATAGCGTTGCCTTTAGAGTCAATAAGGATGCTTGGGTATGGGATATTGCTAATATTGTTGTCTTTACCGTCAAAGACACAAGGTTTGTAATTGATTATTTGACTTTGTCTTATGGTGTGGAGGAAACAAGGTGGAATAAGTTACTCCCTATTAAAGTAAATATTTTTAGTTTGAGATTTTCCTTGAATCGGCTCCCTACTAAAGATAACTTGCTGCTTAGAGGGGTTCATATTCCGATCTCTCTTTGTCCTATATGTATAGATCAAGTTGAGACAATTGATCATTTATTTGTGGAGTGTAGGGTAGCAAAAACTTTGATTCATAAACTGAGTCGATGGTGTGATATTGATAACTCTTTGTTGATATCGGTTGGAGGTTTCAAGTCTTTCTTGGATGTGATGCACTTGTCCTTCAGTAAAAGATTGATGGTGGAGGTTATTTTTAGCACTATCTGGTGGACTATTTGGAACTTCGAAAATAGATGTGTGTTTGATCATACGAGACCTAGACAACATAGATTATTTGATGATATTGTTGCTTTTACTTTTAATTGGGTTATTCACCGGAAACATAAATTCTGTATTTCTTGGAATTTATAGCTCCAAATTCCAATTTTGAACATTTTGATGTAATTGTCTCATTTTAGCCTTAGCTCCTTGCTAGGGTCTTGTTTTTTTTATATCTATTCAGCCGTAAAAAAACGACATAATGGAGACAGTCAGTCAATATAGATTGATCCGAAATCTGATTCAAATCCAACATAGCACCCATAGATACATAAGAAATGTATTGAATTGATTATTTTTAATGAATAAATCCGATCACAACTTTGAATATGGAATTCAAATGGATCAAATAGGAAATGATACTTTGAATCATAGACCTCTTATGAAATATATGATCAAATTCAAGTTAGTAATTATACCAAGTGTAGTAAGCTCATTGTTTGATATTTTTCATTTCACATTTTTGCTTGTTTACTATGGATACGAACAATCTCGCTCTATGAACAAAATGGTTATGGAGACAAAAATCGGATAGGTAATTCAGTGGGCTCTATGGGCTCAAAAAATTATCCATCAATTCACAAAAATGTGAATTTGGAAAGCATTCCCTCTCAAGTTGAATCTTTGTGGCGCATGGAAGAGCATTTTCAATTCCATTTCTCATTTCAAAACAATTTTCTCTCTAATAAATAAAAATGATTTGTCACTTGTCAATTTTTTATAAATTTTGACACTTGTCATTTTATGATATTTTTTAAATAAATAATATCTACATGTCAAGTTATGTGTTTTTCAATTTTTAAAATTAAAAAGCCACATAATAGTTTTACTTATATATGTAAAGTATTAAATATAATAAATATGATAGTAAATTATAAGTAATATGTTTCTTATTTCTTATTTTAAAATTTTATTTTAAAAAATACTTATTATTTAAATTTTAATATTTACGTTTTTTAATCACCTTGTATAATATATGAGTCTTAAACCTAATTAATATAAAAAATATCATGTCTACATAAAAGAAAGGCAAATGACACAAAAGACAATGTTTTCATTTTTTTTTTTTTTTTGAAGCTTTTTCATGTTTGTTCAATGGCTCAAAAAACACTATATTTTTTTTTCCACTTTGATCCCTTCATGTTTGTTCAAAGGCATAAAAAAACACCATATTTTTATTTATTTATTTTTCCTTTTTCGATTTTGACAATGTCTTTCCCAATTTTTGTTCTAAAAACACAATGTTTTCACCTTTTTTATTTTAACAATTTTGACATTGTATTTTCCAACTCAACATGACAAACAACATGACAAACGATCCAACTCAGTTTGGTTGATCGGACTAGAAATGATACAATGTGGAGATTTTGACTTTTCAGTTGTCTGTTTTGCTCCTTTACAATGGTGTTGGTTTCAAGAATATGATTATGGATCCTATTGCCACTAGACGTTGCTGCTGATGTTAATTTAAGTGATGCTGTTGGTGGAAGTTGGAAATATCATTTTTCCAATTTGGCCCCTAATTGACCTAATTGCCCTCTTGATTACTTAATTAGCTTATGAAAGACTGATGTTCATCTTCATAATGAATGTTTTAACACTTTTAATGTTAAGATCATAACTTGTATACGTTTATTGCTTTGACTTGAGCTCTTTCCTACAATCAATTAAAATAAGTGATAGCCTATTATAACAACAAGATTCATAAACTCCACATATCACATTCTATCCAATTCCATGAATCATGAATCATACAGAAATAGAGGAACACATGAAAGGTCTAAAGTATAACAGATGTTAAAAATGGATGTAGATCAGAATGCAGAGCCAGTGTTACTACTCTTCCTCATGAGCATCTCTTTTGCTTCATTGATTTTGGAAGCAAGGTAGTGGCTGCCGCCAGCATCAGGGTGGTTTGCCACCATCACCCGCCTATGTGCTTCCCTTACCTTATCCACTGCAGTACTTTCCCTATCCATGTTAACAACTATTATTCATCATCATAAACACTAATTCATCATAAAACTGATTCATATGAATTAAAAAGTTACCTTACTCCAAGAATCAGAGCAGCTTCTCTTCTTGTCATTTGAGGTTGGAATCCCCCTTGATAAAACTTTCTAAATGCAGCAGGTGAAGCTGGTCTAGCCTTGAAAGCTTGCCATGCTTGGATGCCGTATCTACCAGCATAAGCAGCAGCTGCAACTGCAAGTCCTGTCATCAATGGAGTCGCCTGGTGGAGGAAGAGTTAGGGTTAGCATTGGGGCTTTTGTTTATCAACAAAACCCTAATTTTCCTTCGAGAAAGTTCGATCTTTTTATGATTGTTAAAAGGTTTTCATTCTTCGAACCACCTTAAATTCTAAAATCATAAAATAATTTTTGTGTTGAAATCCAACCTATGTACCCAGGGAAGAAAGGGTTATATCGAATCTCTGTTACGAGAATAGAAAAATTAACCTATCGGTATGAACAAATTTTGCCCACATGAATGTTTATTCTCAATAGAGCCTAAAATTAAATTCAATCGCTACAACACACACGAACATCGATAAATTAGGTAACGTGGAAATGAGTAAAGATGATGACTAACCATTGGATATCTCAGAGCGCGAACGAATCGAAACCTAAATTGGGTTTGCAGCTCTTCAGATATAGGGTTAAAATCGTCGAAGAATCTCGAATTTTCTCCCAAGTACCAAATTCAAGAAGTGGGTATGCGTTGTAATGTAGAGAATCGAAGATGCGTATGACTTATATGATAGATGAAAAGATTATAGTTTTTTTTTGGTAAAATTGGGTGTTTATTAGTTTGGGGGCTGCGACGACAAGACGATGCCTGACTTTCTTCCTTGTTCCCCAAGTTATTATATAAAGGCTAAAGTTATGATCCTTGGGGGCGTGGGAGAACAATTTTTTTATAAACGAAACAACTAAAATGAGAAGGTTTTTAATATTTTGGGAAAGTAATATTTTGTGTATAGGATTTTTGTGAATCGATTTCGGAGTAATTTTATATCCCAATAAAAGTTTTTTTTTTATTTATTTATAAAATAATAGGAAAATGACTTATTAAATAACTATTTGGTATGTTTACATATATATATATATATATATATATATATATATATATATATAGGTAATATTTGTTTTTTTATACTCATTTACCCACTTGTTTCATAAATTCAATAATACTCATTATTACAGGCAAACACAAGTTTTTGCCTCGATTTAGGTCAACTAAAATGTATTACGTGGATTCTTAACCCCCCCCCCCCCCCCAATCCTCAATTAATTGGGGTTCGTCTGCTCCATAAACATTTCGATTAACAGTTTGGGAGAAATCGATACAACAAATCGAAGGTGAATTTGAAGATTCGAGTTGAAGTCGACAGTAATATGGCATCCCAATCATCTACAGGTATGTATGTTCCTATAGATTTTCATTACAAGGGGGTATTTGCACAAAAGTCGTTGGTATACTTGGACCAGCTAAAAAAATGTTCGTGATGTGGATTTTGGTGGATTTATATATATATAAAGAATTTCTTTTATGGCTTATGAAATTAACCGAAGGAGACCGTGATAAGGTCTACTACTGTAATAGAAAGGAATGCTTGGCTGAGGCTATAAGAAGAATCGACAGTGATGTTGATTCTTGGGAGTTTGTAGAAGCTGTTTATAGTGAGTCTGAGTTGGATGTGTACATTGATCACCAAAATGAACTAATTCTTGATTGGGTTGATAATGAGGTTTTAGCAGATGATATAAGTGATGATAATGAGTATGACTTGGATGAAGAAGATGACAAGGACTCAGAAATTTCTGATACTACAAAATATGAACATGAACGTGATGAAGAGGTTTATACTTTTGACAAAACTGTTGGGGACAAACTTACTTCCAAGTGATATAAGTGATGATGATGAAGCCAACAATGGAAAAGATATGGAGGTTGTGTTCCCTGTCAATGATGAGAACCAAGAATAGGATCAAATGGTGCCAGTTGCAGGTATGAAGTTTTCTAACCCATTAGAACTGAAACTATGTCTTACCAACTATGCAGTTAAGAATGGGTACGATTTATGGTATGAAAAAAGTGATAATCAGAGGTTATTGGTAAAATGTTGTAAAGGTAAGAAGAATAAGCAGAATAAAGGTTGTCCCTTTAGGTTGTGGGCTACCTGGATGTCCTCTGAAAAGTCATTCCAGATTAAATCATTAAATGATAGCCATAATTGCTCAAGAGTCTTTCAATTTGGGTCCAGTGTTACCTATAAATGGATATGAACTCATTTCATGCAACATATACTATACAAACCAAAGATGAGTCTAAGGAAATTGAAAGCTAAAGTCAGTAAGAAATTTAATTTGATCGCAAGTGTTGGACAATGCAGAAATGCTAAGAAGTATGCATTTTAGGAGATAGAGGGTTCTTTAAAAGAACATTATGCCAAAACATGGAGCTATGGGGAAGAGATAAAAAGGACTAACCCTGGATCAACAGTGAAGATGGATGTAGATGTCATGCCTGATGGAACCACTTACTTCTCAAAGTTTTATGATTGTTTAAAGGGTTTGAAGGATGGGTGGATTGAGGGTTGTAGGAGGGTAATTGGACTAGATGGTTGCTTCTTAAAGGGCATATGTAGAGGTCAATTACTTTCTGTTATAGGTAGAGATGCAAACAACCATATATACCCAATTGCTTGGGTTGTGGTTGCACTGGAAAGTAAAGAAACATGGAAGTGGTTTATTGACCTTTTGATTGATAACCTTAGAATGTGAGTTGGGCATAGACTAACCCTAATATCAGACCAACACAAAGTAAGCAATTTATGTTCTCTATCTTAGTACTACTTAATTTATTTAAGCTTATGTTTTTTTGTCTAATGTTAGGGATTACTTGAGGCTGTGTGAAACATCCAAAAATATGGTCTCAATAAAAGTTTCAATTTTTATAAAAAATAGAGTAGTATTTTCCAATAACATCCAAACATTTGAATAAAACCAATGCATTAATTTGCCATAAATCAAAGTAAAACATCATAGCGGAATCTCAATGGTGTGTGCGATGTAGTCATCCCGAGCTCTTCCCTTTACGACCGGAAGTACCTGAAACATGAACTAAAAACGGTAAGCACAAAGCTTAGTGAGTTCCCCTAAAATACCTCATACCATACATACAATAAGCATACAGTGGGCCCCGCCCAGTCATCGGGCCCCACCCGGTCATCGAGCTGAGCTCGGAAGTGAATCGGGCCCCACCCATCATGCATATAACATATATCAAATAAACACATACACATGCAACATAGATACATAGCATACAAACAGTCATCGGGCCCCGCCCGACATCTGAACTTATCCCGGAAAGCATATAAACACAGGCACATGCAAGAGTCACAAAGACAGCTAGCATACTATCAACATAACGAAAACATGGGCCAACATTGGTTCCTTCGACCCGCTAAACTCGGTAAGGAAACTCACCTCGAATACAGAAAGGTAGTTGAACGATCCCGACTCCGAATATCGACTCTACTCAACCCCTAAACAGAAAAGATTTCCTTAAATACAACTCAAAATGCCCAAAAGCCCCTTATAGATCAAACTTGGTCAAAGACAAAAGTCAAAGTCAACAGTCCGAGTTGACCCAACTCGCCGAGTTTCTCCATTAGTCTGGAAGAAACCGATCCAACTCGCCGAGTTTATCCATAAACTCGCCGAGTTCGCCAGAAACCCAACATCTTAATCCATTAAGCTGACCTTATCGAAACTAAGAGCTTCAAAACTCAGATCTTAACTGAAATGGCATCTAGAATGGTAAAGTTTCCAACTTTACCCCTAAGAACCACCAAAATGGGTTCAAAACCCAAACCCTAGGCTTAAAAGGGTGAGGGCTTAATCATTAAGCACTTAATCACCAAAGGCATAACCCCAAACTATAGATATGGCCCTAAAAGTTGAATGGCTACGTAAAGTTTCCAACTTTACACTCATGCATGGCTAGAAGAGGCTCAAATGCTCAAAAGAGGCCAAAAGAAGGACTTAATGAAAGCATGAACCCTTAAGACCATAAAGTTGACACCTTTATGCCAAAAGAGCTCATGAATATCTTAGATCTAAAAGGATAACATTTGGGATGTCCTACACCCCCATCATCCACCCAACATGGCTAAAAGCATACAAACTAACCCAAGAAGAGATCTATGTAACTAATAAGCAAGGTATGAACTTGATACCTCAAAAACTTGAAAAATGAGCTAGTGATTCTGGATCCAAGACTCCTTCTTCAAGCCAAGCAACTCCCAATTCATTAGCTTCTTCAGTAGGCACCAAAATGGACACTTAAGGCTCTCCTCAAGCTCACACACTCAAGACTGGAAGTAAATGCTCGATTTTAGGGTTTTTAGACAGATGAGGCTGGTAAGGAGGCCATCCAAGGGACTTAAGGCTTTTAAATAGGGTGCGACACCCTAAAAATTAGGGTTTCCTTCCCAGCCGCCAACTCGCCGAGTTGACTCATTAAACTTCGCGGCCAAAACAACTTCGACACGTCGAGTCGAGGCTTCCAACTCGACGAGTCCTCCAAGAAAATGTAAATAATTGGAAATAAATTCATACCAGAAACCAGGCATTACAATTCTCCCCAACTTGAATCAGACTTCGTCATCGAAGTCCGCTGTCTCGAACAATCCTGAGTAATGCTCCCCCATATCCTGCTAGGGCTCCCAAGTCCACTCCGACCCCTTTCGATGTAGCCACTGCACCTTCACTAGCTCCACTACCTTGTTCCCCAAGGTTTTCGTCTTCCGATCCAATATTGCCACCAGTTTCTCAACATTATTTAGGCGGTCATCCACCTTAATATCCTCCAAGCGTGTCACACCCCCAAACCAGGATGGCGGAAACGTCTGGGGGTGGATGACTTCATGAACAGTATCATAACATAATGTACAATAGTGATCAAAGCAAACACAACCATCATAAATATAATTGAAAATGTTACATTGTTTTCAATGTTGTATGTTTCAAAACCAATTACATTATGATGACAAAATGAATAGTACGACGCCGTAGCATCCCATCCTCAAAAGCCTTGTGACCACCTGTTTAGCGGTTTCCTGAGAATACAAGTAGTTTTGAAAAGTGTCAAAAATTAAGTCGGTGACTTCATAAGAGTTTTGTATGGGAAAAATATGTAATTTTTTCCTTGTAAAATGATAGTGTTTGTTCCTAGAAAATCCAATATTTCCTTCAAATGAGTTGTAGTCTTAAAAACCCTAAGACCAAAAATGTATAAGTATTTATATACTTAAAATAGTATTACGTAGTTTTATTCTTATATAAAACCATTTGAACGCATGTTACCCCATAAACTAAATGTATCGTTGATTTCCCATGTGAGTTATTACAACCATGCTAAAACCGAAGTTGGCCTGCTACGACGTTCTTCAGGCGTCGGAATGTTAGACATTTGTCACCCCAGACCTACCGGTCTAGCTGTAGCTAGCAACTTAGGTGTGGGATTGTCAGTCCCGTATAGATCTATAAACAAGTATCATGCTTTCTTACCGAGATTTTGGTTATAATTCAGTACTTTAGTGCGTACTCTGGTAGGTACGGTGAAAACTTTGTCTCACATAATTGTTTCAACAAGTTTACGTTTTGGTTTAATGAAAGCCCTTGTATGTGTAAATATCACTTTTCCATAGTATTAATATAGTGTTTAATAATTATATACTTTTATATAATTATTTGTCTTGTCCCAAAATGTTATAATAGTGTTAATGACCCATAAACTATACCTATTATAGTTTATTAGAAATATTTCGTTGTACCTATATATATATATATATATATATATATATATATATATATATATATATATATATATAAGTTAACATGTTTAGATGTTCATAAATAACATATAATATACATCTAACACAAGTATATGAACTATTAGTATGATAAAGTCAGTTTCTTAGTTTTTGACATTTTTACGTCACCAAACGGTAAATATTAAATTATAAACTTTGTAAAATTTATTTTTACCTTTTTGTGAAGTTTAAGTCAAGTTAACCTTATATGTTTAAAACAATATATTTTAGGTCAAATCTCACAAAAATGGTACCATAACCTGGTTATGACCATTTTTGCTAGAAAACCCTACTTTTACAAAAAAAATGATTGATTTTTAGGTTTTCTATTTTTAAAACCAAATCCTTGATATTTATAACTAGTTTGGTAACATAAGTCCAAAATAAAATATTTTGATTTATATTCCACAAAAATAGTGTAATAACTTGGTTATAACTATTTTTGCTGGAAAAGTCATATTATGTTCATAAAAACCATAGTTTTTATAGTTTTGTTTTTATGACTTTTTCTTAGAAACATATAACATGTTTATACTCATTTTTCATAGATTTTTATTTTAAAAAACATACCACACATAAATATTCATAATACTATGTAATAACATTATTTCATGTAGATAACATTTTTACACAACATAAAGTAAAGCATGTATAACAACTTGTACAATTATACAAGTTTTAATTGTATTCTCTCCCTAAAACTTGGATAAAGATGAAAATGAGGGGTATGAATTCACATTTTGTGCTTTCCCTAGAAGATGGAAAGAAATTATGAGAAGGATGAGGTAGGAATCAAGTTTTGGAAGACAACACCTTCTTGAACTTCAAGATCTTGCCTAAGGTTTTTGATTCAAGATTATAAGTAAAAATAACCAAAAGATAATGATGGATGGGTGATAGAACTCAAAAATTTGGAAGAAAGCTTACCAAAAGTACTTTGAAACACTTGGAACTCTTGGAGAGCACTAGAGAGTTTGTGTATGAATTTTTGGAGATGAATGAGGGTGTGGAGGGGTGCTCTCAGCCGA